GTCTTTTCCTCGCGTCTCGTTCACCTGAGATATTGCGAGTTCGTGCCATTGCGGTCCAGTGCTTTCGTAATCCAGTCCGTGACAGCTAATGCTTGATTCGTGTCCGGTGATTCCTATTGCGTGATTCGTATCCGGAATTCCGTGTGTAATACCACTACAACTACTACAATTATTACATTAGGACAACCAGGAAAGCATTGAAAACACGCGCAGGATGGTCGTGCATTTGCACTGATATTTCTGGGAGTGCTATTGCGCGAAGTCCAGGAGAATTTAGAGGTCTTGAAACGAAGGGCACAAATCTCTGGTACAAAAATCTGTATAAATCTTGAACGATAAGAAACCATTCACATATGAACCAAAAGGCGCGTTGAGAGATAGACAGGATGTACTGTATGTCCTACGTGTAGCAGAGGTGCTACTCGTTAGCACTGAATGGATAAACAGGGTAGACATTTGTAAGAGCCCCTGAACCAGCTGGATCGCGCAGGGCTAAGCCCTCACTTGTTGAATTCTTGGAGTAGTGTATGGTGATCCGGGCCTACGAAATGAGACCTACCCTGGAGCGACTCGGTACAGTATTAGGACAACTGTGATCAATCAAACTTCATGGATGACGTCAGCGAACCGCGGCTCAGACAGAAGCAGAACGACACCAGAAATACTGAAACGCAATCGGTAGAAGCCCGGATAAACAATAAAAGAAATCTTACTCCTTTGGTCTTTTCATCACGTCTCAGTTACATGAGACATTGCGTGCAATTGCCAACGCGGTCCAGTGCTGACGTGATCCAGTCCGTGATTGCTAATCCTTGATTCGTAATCCGAGTTCAGTGTGTACTACTATTACCATTGCTAAAATGATTACATAGTAACAGAGAAAATCTGCTTGCCAACTAGCAGAGGATTCCAAATGTTGTACAAGGGAGATACAGAGTATTACCTGACATCCCCAGGGGTACAAGCACATGGCAATCTAGCGGTAAAGCATGGCCAAATAAGCGGCAGTCAATAAACACCCAACCGAAGCAACGGGGTGCGAGTAGGTTGTCACCTGTCGTAATCATCGAACACGTACTACAACACGAGCAGTGGCGCAGCTACCTACAGTCGGAAAGCGACAACTCCGGAACTACTACATCGCTCAGAAAAATCTCGACACCCACCGAGGTCAACTCCATCTTAGGGCTTAAAACAGGCACGTTATTAGAACAGAATACAGACACGTAGACAGTTTTTTGTCCCCTAGGCTGTTACGCCCTTAATTTATACGGGAATAGGTAAATTAGGAAAACGTTAGCCTTAAGGGAAGATAAATTGATACTACCGTGCACTGATGTGTCGTACAGCATCAAAAATAATTCGGGGGGGGGGCACCCTGAAAGTTGCACGCGAACACAAAGCTACTTTGTTGGGATAGGAGTAACCGATTTCAGGGCGGTGATCAAATCCTCTTAGTAGGGAAAGATATCAAGCAACCTAGATTTGATATGGAAGTTTGCACAAGCAACATACAGATGTACTCAATCAGCGTCAACATCGTGGGAGTCCCATTTCTGTATCAACGGAGGGCGAACAACTGTGAGCAGCATTGAGTAGAAGCCCCATAACCTGGTACTACTAGGGGACTTTAACCTACCAGGTATAAAATGGGATACAAGATGTACAGGAGCAAGGCTTCCTCGACTGGATACAACTCAAAGCACTCTACCAGTGTGTGTTCAGGTCGTTTCAGTTCCCTTCAGTTCCGTTCATTTTATTAGAACGAAATGTGGCTCTTGTCAATCGCACGTCCAGTTCGTTGTGTTGTGGGCGAATGCTCTTTGTTTGCAAATAACACTACGTATTCGATTGTCCAATGGGTTCCCCCTGAACCAAAACAATTCCCAATTGTGGAGATCTTCACAACTGGTGCTGTAAAAGAAGAAGGAAAAATTTTCTTATTGCCTGTTCATTAAAAGAGTTCCATTGGTGCGTATGCACCGTACATTTTATTACATAGGGCAATCCCTTACGTTGTAGGTCCCCTGGCTTGCATCTACTTGTTCCCGTTGATGCCAGAAGACTAACTGTTTTAGATGCCAACCTCTGGGAACATTTCAGCCCAATAGAAGTCCAGTGCCGCATTACATGCTTTGACACTTATACAGTTGACTAACTCGTCAGGTAACTTGTTCCACATAGGTATGACCCTTTGTGAAAAGAAGTTTGCCCGAATCTCCAGTCGAGCGCGGTTTTTTTGCAGCTTGAGGCGGTGGCCTCTTGTGTAGTGGTTAGGGGGTGAGGTAAACAAATCAGCTATGTTGAGCCCTGCAAGACATTTCACTATTTTGAAAGTCTCTATTAGGTCACCCCGCAATCTTCTACGTTCACGTGATAAGTGGCTGAGATCCCTTAGTCACTGTTCGTAGCTTTTATCCCTCTATCCAGTTACCACTCGGATGGCCAGACGCTGCACCTTCTCTAAGCATATTATGTAATTCCTTTAATACGGTGGCCGCGCCTGGACACAATATTCTTAATGAGGACGAAGAATGGTCTTTTATATGAAGGTACGGAAACCTACGGGTACCTGCTAGTAACTGTTGTACATACGTGAAACAATTCCCTTCTGGTCTTGTCCCTTGCCCTGAGGCACTGAGTTGAGGGATTGAAGTTGTGATTCATAATAATTCTAATGGCTCTCATTTGTGAGGTCCGTTGTAGCGGTAGACCATCTATCAAGTGCGTCTCGGGTCTGGTGGTCAGCAACCGATACTTGGTGAGATTCAGAGGAAGATCCCACTGAACAGTCCATCGATGAACTATCTCTAAATCCCTCTGCAAGTCGGTGCCCGTCATTTTGACGTCTTGGGCAAAAATGAAACAAGGATTTGGAGATCCTGTGCCAAATCGTTTATGAACATTAGGAACATTAGGGGTCCTAACACGGGGCCTTGTGGGACTCCGCTTGATACCAATGCAGTTTCCGACTCATGGTCTCCCACCCTCGCCCTAAAGATGTGGTTGCTCAAAAACGACATGAACCAATTTCGTATGTTGCCTACTATACTCAGGCCTTGTATTTAGACGCGCAGTAGCCGATGGCTTCTGAGGTCGAAGGCCTTTGATAAATCTAAATAGCATACTTCTATGTTACTGCCCTCTTCCAACCGCCGCGTAACCTCATCCAGAAATACCAGCCGATTGGTGAGGCATGACTTACGCTCAACGAAACCATGCTGCGTCGAAGTCGATTATGTACTAGGTGCAGGCACATTTGCCTCCCAACTAATCGTTCTAAGCACTTACACAGCACTGACATTAGGTTGTACCTATTTGGCTTTCTGCCTGGACCCAGAATTTTGCAGGGTCACTACCATCGCGGTGCGCCAATCATCTGGTAAGGTAGCGTTTTGGAGCTATTTCCTAAACAGCCAAGTGATTGGTCCTGTTAGGACCTCGGTTAATGGCTGAACTATGGCTGAATGGATTACATCCGGACCTGCCGATTTATACTTACCCAGCGCTGTGAATTCTCGAGTTACGTTGGCGTCCGTTTTACAGATTTCTGCTAGAATCGGCTTGTCTCTTAGCAGTTGTGGTATCGGAATATCTATGTTGGACGTCGCCCTATGGACACTTAAAAAAATCCAACAGAGTTTTCGCTTTGCCTTCATTACTCGTAGCTTTAATGAATGGAATGCCTGTCTGCCTTCTTTCTAGTTGGACACGGCATCCTACTGCTTGGATTTTAGAGGTAACTAAGACCAGTTGCGTTTCCCATTGGCTGAGGGAAGACTTAACCAGTATTAGTAAATCACCTCCATCTCCCGTCTACTCTATGCTGCTGATAACTAGTACAGTGGCCTAGGCCAGCAACAACTTGCAATTCCTGCAACCAGGATTCAGCAATAACGATGATTTGGGAGCGTGTTGCAATCTCGCCTCATTTACCCACACTACAAGTGTTAGTATACCAGACCGCAATACTGCCTGCTTGTAGCTGTTCTGCTTGGGGCCATCATATACTCTTGGAGTCCTCGGACTTAATACCCGAGGGATAACCCCGTTTTTGCTGTTGTGTAACAGCTGGAGGCAGCCTCCTCTATCTGAGACATGCCGTCCTTAAATTTAACCAGTAGGCTGACTTGGATGCCTGCGGCGTGACTTTTTTGAGGAGCTCTGGGTTCTCGCATCCGGGATTGGTAGTTGTGCCCATTCCTGACCGGCGTTTTGGCGTATTTGCTACACCTGCTGCCCAGCTGCGGCCCTCCGACACCCTTCCGGGTGAGGAGGTTCACTGCGGTCCGTTCCTGAGATTATCTATTTTTCTGAAGAAGCGGCTCTCTCTACCACACTTTTTGCTTTTATAGAAGTGGTGGTTGTTTTTATCGTACTAACCGCTTTCGCTTCCCCTCACTTCTCCTATCGAAGTCTTTTCAGGCTTTGGCGTTGACCTGCTCAACAGTGAACCCTTCGGTCCGTGTGTGCCCTTTGGTGTGGATACCCGACCTGGAGTCTTCGTTGAGTTAGTCACCGACTTAGCTTTATCGGGCGCTCCTACCCTTCGTAGCTTTTATATTACATTATTTAGCGGTTCTAGTTCCTATCCACTCTTGGGTGAACAGTTGGTTCTACAGACCACCGTACCATTAGCTGGGGTGACAATTATGCCGACCCTGGTGATGTTTTCTATTGCTACTGATCTGGACAATAGGCGGTCCCTCGCGTACACGCCGGTGAAGACGATCAGTATGGGCTAAGGGTGGAGGGCTCTTTCGCCTTTTCATAGTCCCACCCTATGACACGTGATAATTCCACTAATGGGAGGCATCCCCGTAAACCTAAGCACGTTCTGTATAGAATTCCGCTCCGCTTCGTGCCGAGATTTGGAATCCCCAGTCACAGGATCAACGCAGTAGTGCAAAAGTATGTTCCTAATTTTTCCTAAGATTGATTGGTTGGTTTCCTTGAGGCGGTTCAGCTCTTTTCCAAGCCGTTTCAACTTGACATTTATATTATCCCTGGTCTCCGCGTCCCTCTCCGGAGCTACATCGGGCAGCTTTTCCTTTCGTTTTGGCATCGGATCCACTTTTTTCCTTACGGCTTGGTTTCTTACGTTTGGCCACCTGAGGTTTCATTTCCTTAGGCTGATCCGGCTTATCGGTGCTGCCTACAGCCTTATTCTTGGGGATGCGTGAGCATTCCCTATTAGCGCTATACAGTGGATCCAGATCCATCTCAGGGATCTATTTGATGTGTATAGGTGATGATATTTCTTCATCAGCTTGCTACAGTGCTTACAATACCAAAGGTGACACTGTTCGCACTGAATACACTCGGCCATATACTCTCCACAACCGCCGCACTCGATCACATTCGTACGTGCAGACATTTGAAAGGTGAAAAATGTTTTAAAAATTTAACACCGATAAAAATGACCAGCTACACAAACTGGAAAACTGGAACGCAAATGTAAGACACGAAATAGTAAACAAAACTGTTTAGGCAGTAAAACTGGGTGACCTGTGATCGGTTTATGATTTATAAATAGTTCCTTGGTTTAACCCAGGCAGTGTACAGTAAGTGAAATACCGGCAGATATTCCAGTTCGATAGTGCAAATAGCTTATAGCAGAGATCACGTTAAAACTCAAACCGAGCGCGCGGCACGTACCATTCACTGTAAGAGAACACGCGTTTTAGGTTTTGGAACAACTACCATCCCTGTGGGACCTTGTTATTACGAGGTATGAGAAAGACGCGCCGAAAATTAGCTACTAAGCCCGATAGGGAAAAGCGACCAAACAGTGATTCGGTTGTTACTGGATCCCCAGGGCCACTTTGNCCCAAACGGATTGTGCACAGGAAGGCGTCTGAGCTCGTCTGGCAACAGGTCGAAAAAAGGACTACAGTGGACGATTTGTGGAAGATAATTAAAGAGTATTTCTTTGTGTTACAGGATGGGTTTGCACCTATTCAACTGCGAATGTCATTCAAAGATACGATTTTCAGGAATGGAGATGTGGCCTATCAAAGGACCGCCAAACAACGCACAATTGGGGAAAGTCACGTGGTAGTGGTGGAATCCGAACTTTCGGCCTCCGAGGTGATCATTGGTGACGTTACCATCGGGTCACCATCTCCCGGTGAGCCGTCTTGGTGGAGGAGTTCCAGTAGCAAGACAATACGTCGTCATAATGTCAGCTGGGAATGATACCGAGAGGTAGGATGGCATGGATGCCATGGATGCGTTACGCGGAACAAAAAAAGTGAGACTGTTCGCATTGTTTGAAACGAGAAACGTAAATACGAGCTGAACTTAGCTGGAAATTCGAAGACAAAACTCACGAGATACTATAGTTGCCTTCGGTCAAACAGAGTATTCAGGGATGCACTAGGTGCCCTTATTCTAAAAGATGACACAGTAGCCTGCAAATGAACAGCATAAGTTCACACTACTGGGGATTAATTTTCTAGTGTGCTTCAGAAAGACAAATGGTCGATCGTTCAGCTTGTCCAGGAAATTTTGTCATAACTCCAGCGGATGTTCACACGGTTCTGGCGAAACTTTGCATGAACAAAGCACCTAGGCCAGACGGGATTCATCCAGCCATCTTCAAACCAGTAGCTGATATCCCTGCTCTACGTCCTCCTTCGGGCGTCACTAACGGACAAACTTCTACCAAGTGACTGGAAGACAGCTACTGTGGACAGAAGTCTGACTTAAGAAACCACAGACCCGTAAGTCTAATCGGTATCCGCTGTGAATGTATGGCGAAGCTGATTAGAGAGCACGTATATAAGCATCTTCTGTCCCATACGCTTCCAACTGGGGCAAAATGTGGATTCCTAAAGTATAGGTCTTACCTCACTAATACTCTGTGCTACCTGGACGAAGTGACCGAACCACTGAGGTTTGAAAGCTCGACAGTTTAGCAAAGTTTTCGATTCTGTGAATCATAGTTTGAGCTTACACACGATCAAAAACTTCGGGTACCTATATGGCTGATTGACTGCATTCCTGACGGATAGAAATTTCACCGTGTGGGTAGAGGAGGCCAGCCAGTTCTCAGGTCATTCGATTGACCAGTGGAGTGTTTCAATACCCGCCTCTCGGATTCTTACCGCTCCCTTTGATTCATCAATGGCCTAGCAGGGTTAACATGTAGTTGAATGGTCAGAGAAACCGGACTTGTAGCAAATTGCAGACAAGTGACAATTATTGGTCAGGGTACAAGATTTGTTAGTGCCTATCAGAAAGTGGAGAGCTTTTGAAGTAGAACCGGTAAAAATATCCAAAGATCTTGTGATAATAATGATTGCTGATTTCATTTGGGTCGATCAGTGTGAAATCACAGGCCTATCATGTAGAAAACCCGAAAATCTTTGTCCCGCTTACCAAAGCAATAATTAGGCTTCATCTAGAGTACTGTGTCCAAGCCTGGGCACTTTTAAACAAAAAGGACTCCACCTGGCTGGACAAAGTTCAGAGACTAGCTACAAAAATAGTGGAGGAACAAGGAGATAAATAATATAAGGAAAGATTACGGGATCCCAATCTTTTTTTCGCCGAGAAGAAGGCGAATTAGAGAGGACCTAATAGAAAAGTTTAAAATTAGGAAAATTAGGATTTTCTGGGATTCACTCTGAAGATTTCTTCGCTAATGCCCCGCATGAAGCTGCGAGGATTTAACAAGACAAACGGATGAAGTAAAGGAATAGATCAGGTGTGGTGCGGTAAAATATTTCATCATCAATAGTAATAGAGTTGTAGACAGTAGGAATAGGCTGTCCGAATCAAGCTGCCTAGTGTTCAGGACTGCAAAATGCCAATGGATATTGCAGTGGCTAGAACTGTTGCCCAATGTGGAGTAGGTAATAAACAGAATATGGGATATGTGATAGTGAACTGGATGAGTACTCAATCAGAGTTTCGAAAACAACCATTCAGACTGACTTTCAGTGTATCTGTAAGGATCTGACGTTGCACATGAAAACTGTGCCTTACGAAAAAGAAGCTTTCGCCTCGAAAGGTTTCGGGACACGGGAATCACCGGTAATTAAATGAATGACTGTAGTGAACAAATGTCCATCTACAAGAAGCTGAAAAAGATATTGAACTGGTGGTTACCCATCCGAAAGAATTCCGCACACTCGATTGGTCGTAGCTATTATCAGTTCTTTTTCACCCTGAACTTAACCGAACTATATATGTATATATATGAAATATAATGTGTTAGCCAG